CGCTTGGCGACAGACGTTTTGGGCTCCATTGGGGTCGTAAATCGAGGACTACCTGTAAAGAACTTTCTCTCCAATAGGAATAAGAGTCTAAATATGAGATGAGGGCTCAAATTTCAGTTATTGCCGTGCCTTCACATCTGGAATTCCTTCTCTTGCCCTGCCGGACTAATTACCTCATCTTGCCTTGATTGGACTTAGAGTTACAGTTTTTGTTGACCACATTTTAGACTTGATTCTCTGCAGCCAAAGGCTTTCCTGGGAGAGCTTTTTTTCCAGCCAAAAGGTAACCAGGACATTGGGGGCAAAGTTGGAACTAATAAAGGGACTCCTACGGATTATCTGACCGTGTTGCCTTTGTGCCACGCCCCTTTGGGTCATCACACCTTCTACCATTTCAGACAAATGTTTGTTCAGTCTTTTCTTCAAAACCTCCAGTGATGGAGCACCCACAACTTCTGAAGGCAAGTAGTTCCACTGATTAATTGCCAGGAAATTCCTCCTTACTTCTAGGTTGCTTCTCTCCTTGATGAGTTTCCATCCATTGTTTCTTGTCCTGCCCTCAGGGGGCTTTGGAGAGTAGCTTGAACCCCTCTTCTTTGTGAGACCCTCAAATATTGGAGCACTGCTATCAGGTCACCCTTAGGCCTTCTTTTCATCAAACTAGACATACCCAGTTCCAGATTGTTTTATCCTGCCTTGTTTATATATGTAAAAATAAAAAAACTCAAAGACAACAAACATACCTCATGCAGTTTTCTCTGTGTCTGTCCTGAATTCTATACCATTTAACGTCACGGATGTCCCCACTGGGTTTCTAGGGCATCGTCCTGATTTATTTGTTCAATCAATTTATACACCGGCTTGCATCTCAAGAAAAGAAAAATAGATAGATGCATATTTTCCAGCGTGTCCTGCCAGGGCAATTTTTTATCTCACTTTGTCTTCCGGGTGACAGTTCCGAAAGGCATTAGAAGACTCAGCGGTGACAACCAAAGTGGTAAGAAATTATTAGGGGCCCTGATTCACATGACGATCAAAATGTTTAGCCTCCTCCGCTATTTCACTTCCTTGCAGAAAGGGAAGGATTCGCATCTGCCCCTGCTCCTTAACACGTCGTCCTCGACTTATGACTACAATGGGGCCCAGAATTTCCATTGCTAAGTGAAGAGGTTGTTAAGAGAGTCATGTCCGAAGTTACGAACTTTTTTGGAGTGATGGTGAAGGCAATCACGGCAGTTGTTGTTAAGTCAAGGACTAGATTTTTGGGAATTTTGTGAGCCTAGGAACAGAGGTGAGCCTCAACATCTGGCGTGCCAGTCAGCTGTTCCATGGATAGCGGCGAGGGCAGCAGGAGCAATGGAGTTGGCAAGCTATTAATCTGTTGTGACCCACCAGCTGCCAGCAGAGCTGGCGACAGACTCGGACAGTGAGGAAGTTGGGGAGGAACTTGCGCCAGTCCTGGAGTCTGGGGAAGGCTCGGACGAGGGCTCTGCATTGGAGGCAGAGAGAGGGCTGACATTTCCCAGCTGCCTTCAGAGTCGGCGATAACTGGGGGAAAAGAACAGCTGGAGCCTGTCCCAGATGGGCGTATGCACAAGGCTGTCAGGAGAGCAGAACCATTAAGGAACACGGGCCAACTCAGAAGGAAAGGCACACACGGACGCTGAATGGCCCCTTTCTAGGGAATAAATACAAGCAAAAGGGGAGTGGTGATTGCAGGAGACCATATTTCTTTTGAAGGATTTGCTTAACAGAGTTCGTGCCTCACAGAGACTCCTTGCCGGGTATTTGGTTTACAGCTTTGCGACTGGAAGCTCTCGGCCTGGCAGCTATCCAAGGACTGACAAGGTCTGTTCTTACAATTGACCCTTGGGAGGATTATTGCCTGGACGTTTCTGTGTGTGTGAATCAGTGCTGGTATGCTACCGGTTCAGACCGGTTTTCCCGAACCGGCGGTAAAGCTAAAAAAAAAAAAAGCCTCCCACGATCACGCCTTTGTGCTTTTCTTTATCCTCTCATCTGATTGGGGCTGCAGGCTTCAGCTGGTGTGGGGAAAGCTGCGTGCACGATCATCGAACTGGTAGTGGGACATGCAGGATTCCACTGCTGGTGTGAATGCCATGAATTCACAGTGACTAAATAAAGAGGGGTTTGGGGATAAGGAGCCTGTTCCTTGGTTTTGCTAAGGCGGGGTCAGAACACAATTCAAATTTCTAGGTTCTATCATATCACAAGGCCTAAAATGGACACCTAACATCAAAAACGTCATCAAAAAAGCACCACAAAGAATGTTCTTTCTGCGCCAACTCAGGAAGCTCAAATTGCCCAAGGAGCTGCTGATCCAGTTCTACAGAGGAATGACTGAGTCTGTCCTCTGCACCTCTATAACTGTCTGGTTTTGTAATGCAACCCAACAGGACAGACACAGACTCCAGAGGAGAATTAGGACTGCAGAAAAAAACAATGGCTACCAGCCTGCCTTCCATGGAGGACCTGTAAACTGCACCCTGAGTCAAAAAGAGGGCTGTGAAAATATTTACAGACCCCTCACATCCCAGACATAAACTGTTTCAACTCCTTCCCTCAAAACGACGCTATAGAGAGCTGCACACTAGAACAACTAGACACAAGGGGAGTTTTTCCCCAAACGCCATCCCTCTGCTAAACAACTAATTCCCACAACACTGTTCAACTATTACAAAGTCTGCACTACTATTACTATTAATCTTCTCATCACTCCTTATCGCCCATCCCCTCTCACTTGTGACTGTGCGACTGTAACTTTGTCACTTGTATCCTTACAATTTATACTGACTGTTTCCTAGTATGATTTGATTGCTTATTGTACCCTATGACTATCACTGTGTTGTACCTGATGATTCTTGACTTTTGACGAATGTCTCTTTTGTTTTATGGACACGGAGAGCATTTGCACTAAAGACAAATTCCTTGTGTGTCCAATCACACTTGGCCAATAAAGAATTCAATTCAATTCAATTCAAATCAAATCAATTCAAATCAATTCAATTCAATTCAATTCAATTCAATTCAATCAATTCAATTCAATTCAATCAATTCAATCCAATTCAAAATTCTATTCAATTCTATTCTATGGAACGGCTTGCCTCTGGAAGTGGTGGGTGCTCCAATACCGGAGGCTTTAAAGAAGAGACTGGACAGCCACGTGTCTGAAATAGAAGAGGGACCCTTGCTTGAGGAGAGGGTTGGACTAGAAGACCTCCAAGGTCCCTTCCAGTTCTGTTATTCTGTTTTTAAAAGTTCTTCCCAAGTTTCCAAAACTACTCACCATTTAAACCACAGTGGGTCTATTTCTCCTCTTTACAGCCAGATGGCAGCATCCACAACACTCTGGTTGATCTCAGAAAGCTAACCAGTTCAGATCCTGATTTTGTGCTTGACTTACAGCTTATTCATTTAGTGACCCTTCCAAGCTACGACAACCCTGAAACAAGTGACTTGCGACCGCTTTTCACATTCACGACTGTTGCAGCCTCTCCATGGTCACGCGATCAAAATTCACACGCTGCTTGGCAACTGACTTCTATTTATGACACTTGCTGTGTCCACGGGGGGGTCACGCAATCCCCTTCTGAGAAGCAAAGTCAACGGGGGAAGCCACGATCCACTTAACAGCCGTGTTACTAATTTAACAACTGCAAGTGATTCACTTTAACAAACGCTGGCAAGGGAGGTCGTAAAAATGGGGCAAGGTCCCTTAACAGTTCTCTTGCTTAGCAATCAATGGAAACTGTGGGCTCTGCGACGAGAGCAACCTGCATTCCCTAAATCCTAAACTAATCCAGTCACCTGCATTCACTGAAACGGTTAAGCTCCAAGAAAATGAAATCACGGTTTGTTGCTAATGCAGGGGTATCAAACTCAAGGCCCCGGGGGCCGGATCCAGTCTATGGAGGTGCTTAGATGTGGCCCGTGAGGCCACCCCGGAAACAGCAAAGGACCGGCCCGTGGTGCTTCTGCCAATGAAAACGGAGCCCGGGCAGGCTGTGCGGGGCTTCTCCAAGTTCAGTTTTGGCTGGCAGAGGGCTGCAGGAGGTCATCGTAGCCGAAAACGGAACCTCGGTTAAGTGACACTGAGCTGGACACGACCCCCTGGCCTTGCCTCGCCCCTGAGATTCAAACACAACCCTGATGCGGCCCTCAATGAAATAAGAGTTTGAAACCCCTGTTCAGGGGCGGGCTTCAAAAATTTTAGCAATCGGTTATCGGCCTAAGTTGTCTGGGTGGGCGTGGCTGCCTGCACCACGGCGGGATGGGAGAGGGCATTTTCGCCAATGGTGGGATTCAAATTTTTTTTACTACCGGTTCTGTGGGCGTGGCTTTGTGGGCATGGCAGGGGAAGGATACTGCAAAATCCCCATTCCCTCCCCACCCCCACTAACCTGCTTTCCAGCTCCGTTCTCCTGTGCAGGGCAACCAAAGGAGACCCAGCCGATCAGCTGGGACTCAATGGGAGGCAGAGAATAGATGGAGTTGGCGGGGCCAGTCAGAGGTGGGATTTGGCGGTTCTCCGAACTACTCAAAATTTCCGCTACCGGTTCTCCAGAACCGGTAAGAACCTGCTGAAGACCACCTCTGATTTTCGCCCTTGCCAGGGCTCTGAAGGCTTTCCTCGACCCTCCGGGAGGGCAAAAACAGCCTCCCTGGGAGGCTCCTGAAGACCGGAAACAGGCTTATTTCTGGCCTCCAGGTGGCCCGTTTTTCACCTCCGTGCAGGCCCCGTACTTACCTGGGATCCAAAACGGGCCACGTGGAGACTCCAGCCAGGGATGGGATTTGCCGGTTCACCGAACCGTCCATTAAAAATAATAAAATTAGCTACCAGTTCTACCAAACCTGGGCGAACCGCTATCAAGCCCACTGGCTGCCCCTGTTCTAATGGATAGGGAAAAATGTTCCCTGGCAATGCCTGTCGCGGGAACACACAGAACGATAGGAAAAAGAGGAAGCACCGAACTCACCTGTACAAGGATCCAGGAGAAAATGACAGCCATCCAGGGGTTCCCACGCGAGGTCTGCTTCGCTGGGCTCAAAACTTTGCCTTTATCCCAAGGGACAGGCAGTACAGAGGGTGGGGGGGAGAGAAAAATGAAAGAATGGTTGTACTACAATTCTGTTTGGGATAATTAATTATCTCAGTATCTACTTATCCTACTACCGCAGCACCATTGAGAGTGTCCTGACATACAGCATTCTTGCATGGTATGGGAGCAGCTCCGTAGCGGACAAAAAAGCTCTACAGAGAATCATTAAAACTGCTCAGAATATCATTGGGTTCCAGCTACCAGCCCTGGACAACATCTTCACATCTCACTGTTTGAGGAAGTTGCACAACATTCTCAGAGACTCTTCCCATCCTGCTCCCAATCTTTGTGGAACAGTTGCCTTCTGGCAGAAGATACAGAACAATTAAAACTCGAACCACACGTTTTCTGAACAGTTTTTATCCCAGAGCTATAATTGCATTTAACAATGAACTTAAGGACCCACCATCAGTGAGCTGTTGGACAGTATTAATTGGTCTCTTATGTGTTTTAGGAGGTGGGGAATTTTGGTGGGTGGGGAGGTGTTTGGGGATTGTCATGTGTGTGTGCATGTTGAGTCTGGTCTCTGGGTGTTATGTGAATTTCGTTGTACGTATACTGTGTATATACGTACAGTGACAATAAAGAATTCTATTCTATTCTATTCTATTCTATTCTATTCTATTCTATTCTATTCTATTCTATTCTGTTTCTATTCTATTCTATTCTATTATTCTATTCTATTCTATTCTATTCGGGAAGACTTTTCTAGAGCTCCAGATGATTGCAGCAGAAAGCCTGTTTAATCAAATCTATTCCTTTAGATCAGAGTTTCTTAACCGTGGCAACTTTAAGGTATGTGGACTTCAACTCCCAGAATTCCTTTGAAGATATGTGGGACTTCCATCTGGCTGGGGAATTCTGGGAGTTGAAGACTACGTACCTTAAAATTGCCCAGGTTGAGAAACATTAAAGTGTCCAACTCGCAAGCGATGTTAAAAAAAGATGGACGTTATAACTAGTTCTCCCCAATTTAGTTATTACCGGCCTCAATTTTAAAAAGTATGATTGTATGTTTTTTTTTTTTCTTCTCTAGAAATTGAGATGTCCGGCACTCTCTAAGAACGAAATATTCTTTTCTGCCAAAGAAAGGAAAAAGACAGGAAACACATTTCCCAAGAACCTGATGGATTTGTAATTATCTAACATAATAACTAAAAAGGAACTGAGAACCTTTATTCTCTGTCAGTATGTCCAGTTCCGTTTTTTTTAAAAAAAGAGTCTGAAAATCCATGGCCGTGTTTACAACTTGCGGTAGGGAACTCCACAAGCCAGTTGCGTGCTGAGTAAAATTATCCTTCCTTTTGTACGTCCTCAATAGGTGCCCGTTTAGTGTCATTAGATGAACTGGAGTTGTAATGTCAGAAGGAAAAATATCTTGGCCTCCTCTAAAGCTCTCAGTGCCAAACAGAACTGTATAGAGGTAGTCCTTGACTTACGACCAGGGGTGGGCTTCACAAATTTTAGCAACTGGTTCTCTGCCCGGTTGCTGAGTGGGCGTGGCCATGATGGGCGTGGCCTAGTCGGCCTCCTGCACCACGGCGGGGTGAGGGGCTGTTTTTGCCCTCACCAGGCTCCGGAGGATTTTCTTGAGCCTCCGGGAGGGTGAAAATGGCCTCCCTGGGCTCCGGAGGTCAGAAATTGGCTCGTTTCCGGCCTTCTGGAGCTTTTGAGAGGCCCATTTTTCACCCTCCCTGAGCCTCCAAGTGGGTCCTGCACTTACCTGGCATCTAAAATGGACTGTGTGGGGACTCCTGGGAGGGGAGAGGAGGGGAGGGGTGGGTGGGGCCAGCCAGGGGTGGGATTTACTGGTTCACCAAACTGGCCATAAAACAACCATAAAATTACCTACCGGTTCACCTGAACCGGTGTGAACCGGTAGCAGCCCACGCTTGCTTACGACCACAACTGAGCCCAAAATTTCCGTTGTTATTGGTTAAGCGAGTTTTGCCTCACTTTACAACCTTTTTGCCACAAATGTTAAGGTAATCACTGCAGTTAGTAACCTGGTTGTTAAGTGAATCTGGCTTTCCCATTGACTTTCCTTTTCAGAAGGTCACAAAAATGGGATCACATGACCCCGGGGACACTGGAACCATCACAAATATAAGCCAGTTGCCAAGCGGCTGAATGTTGATCATGTGACCATGGGGGAATGCTGCAATGGTCGTAAATGTGAAAAACGGTCATATGTGTACTGAGAGCATTTGCACCAAGACAAATTCCTTGTGTGTCCAACCACACTTGGCCAATAAAGAATTCTATTCTATTCTATTCTATTCTATTCTATTCTATTCTATTCTAT